CGTCGCCGGCTTCATCGGCTCGCCGGCGATGAACTTCCTGGCCGGCCAGGTCGGCCAGGAGGGGCGGGGCCTGACCCTCGACCAGGGCCCCGAGCTGCGCTCGGGCAACCTGGCGCTGGCGCCGCTGGCCGGGCGCGCCGTGACCGTCGGCGTGCGGCCCGAGCATCTGCACCTGGTCTCGGAGGAGGAGGCCGAGGTGCACCTGCAGGTGCGCGTCGTCGAGACCCTGGGCGCCGACCTGCTGGCCCATGGCCGGCTGGTAAACGGCGGCGGGGCCGCGGCGGCGGCGATCCCGGCCGAGGTCGACGAGATCGTCACCGTGCGGCTGCCCGGCGTCGTGCGTGTGGCCGAGGGCGACCGGCTGCCGCTGCGCGCCGCCGACGACGCGCTGCATCTCTTCGAGCCCGAGACCGGCAAGCGCCTGCTGGACGTCTGAACCGCAGCGCCGAAACGGCCTTCCGATCGCAGGGATCCGGGGCGCGGGGCCGCATGCCCGGCGGTGCGGCTCCGGCCGTGCGCTTCTGGGTGCGACACTCTGGCCGTGCGGCGAGGCCGCGCCTATCTTGCCGGCCGGGCCCGCGGCCGTGCCGCGGGTCTTGCCTTCGCCATCCCCGGAATCCGTCAGGAGCCGTTTTCATGTCCGAGGCCGCCACGGCGACCCCGCCCTTCCATCTCGCCTTTCCGGTCGCCGATCTGCCGGCGACCCGCCGTTTCTACGTCGAGCTGCTCGGCTGCCGCGTCGGCCGCGAGGCGGAGCGCTGGATCGACTTCGACTTCTTCGGTCACCAGATCTCGGCGCACCTGCGCCCCGACGAGGTGGCGCAGGCCCGGACCAACGAGGTGGACGGCGACCAGGTGCCGGTGCGCCACTTCGGCGCCATCCTCGAGTGGCAGGCGTGGCAGAGCCTGGCCGAGCGCCTGACGGCGGCCGGCACCGACTTCATCATCGAGCCGCACGTCCGCTTCAAAGGCGAGGCGGGCGAGCAGGCCACCATGTTCTTCCTGGACCCCAGCGGCAACGCCCTGGAATTCAAGGCGTTTCAGGACCCGGCCCGGATCTTTGCGCGCTGACGCCGCGGGCGCGTGACGCCGCCGGCCCCAAACCGGCCAGCCCCAAACCGGCCAGCCCGGGCCGGCGCGGGCGCCGCTACCCCTCCACCAGCGACTTGAGCTGGCGGTTGGCGACCGCGAGCATGGCCAGGTCCGGCGTGCCGGTGGCGCGCAGCTCGCCGAGGAGCTGCTCGCTGCGCGCGACCTGCGGCGTGCGGCCGGCGACCCAGCGGTCGATCGCCGCGGCGCCGTCGGCCTTGCCGAGCTGCTTGAGCCCGCCGTCGGCCTTGGCGGTCTCCAGCACCGACTCGGCGGCGCGGAACTGGTAGGCGTCGAGGTCGTCGACGATGGCGGTGATCGCCAGCTTGTCCCAGGCCGTGTCGGCGGTCAGGTGGCCGCTGGCCCGGCGCAGCCAGTCGAAGCCGAAGCGCGCGCCCACCTTGAAGTAGATGCGCCCGGCCTGCTCGACGTCGAGTCCGGCGAGGCCGGCCAGACGGACCACGTCGCAGGCGGCGTAGCGGTGGTGCAGGCTGGCCACGGTCTCGGCCAGGCTCTTCGGCACGCCGCTTTCGACCAACAGCTCGGCCTCCTTGGCGATCAGCTCGCGGTCGGTGGCGGGCAGCAGTTGGCGCAGCGCGGCGCAGAGCGCGGCGACGCCGGGGCGGTAGCGCTCCACCGTCTGGCCGATGTCCAGCGGCTGGCCCTCGACCCGCAGCATCCACACGGCGACACGCTCGGCCAGGCGCCCGATCTCGATCAGCATGCTGGCCTGGGCGCCGGCCGGCACCTTGTTGTCGAGCGCCTCGATCTCGGCCCAGAGCTCGGACAGGCCGAAGACGTCGCGCGCCACGGTGAAGGCGCGCACCACCTCGCCGGCCGGGTAGCCGGTCTTCTCGCGCACCTCCTGCACGAAGGTGATGCCCATGCGGTTGACCACCTCGTTGGTCGCCAGGGTGGCGGCGATCTCCCGGCGCAGGCGGTGGCCACGGATCTCCTCGGCATAGTCCTGGCGCAGCGGGCCGGGGAAGTAGGCCGCCACGTCGGCGTCCAGCGCCGGGTCGTCGGGCAGGTCGGAGGCCAGCAGCTCGTCGTAGAGCGCGATCTTGGCATAGGACAGCAGCACCGCGATTTCCGGGCGGGTCAGGCCGATGTTGGCCTTCATCCGCTCCTGGATGGTCTCGTCGTCGGGCAGATGCTCCAGGCCGCGGTCGAGCTGGCCGGCCCGCTCCAGGGTGCGCATGAAGCGCGCCAGGCGGTCGAGCAGATGGCAGCCCAGGTCCTGGGTGACGGAGATCGACTGGGTCTGCAGGTAGTTGTCGCGCAGCACCAGCGCGCCGACCTCGTCGGTCATCTTCGCCAGCAGGCCGTCGCGCTGTTTGCGGGTCAGCTTGCCGGCCTGCTCGGCGGCGCCCAGCAGGACCTTGATGTTGACCTCGTGGTCGGAGCAGTCGACGCCGGCCGAGTTGTCGATGGCGTCGGTGTTGAGCCGCCCGCCCTTGAGCGCGTAGGCGATGCGGCCGCGCTGGGTCATGCCCAGGTTGGCGCCTTCGCCGATCACCTTGCAGCGCAGCGCCTCGGCGTCGACGCGCAGGGCGTCGTTGGCGCGGTCGCCGACCTCCAGGTGGCTCTCCTCCTCGGCCTTGACGTAGGTGCCGATGCCGCCGAACCAGAGCAGCTC